TCCCTCCACCAGTGCCTATTCTCCACCACCACTGATCCCAGTATCCCTTCCCCCCCATCCCCCATCCCCCCCCCCGCCTCTGTGGCAGGACATTCCCTTTTGTTATCTTTCTCCTTTTGGATGCTGTGGTTATTGAGGTTTTTTTTTTTTTTTTACCATATCTACCACTGTTTTGGGGACAGAGGATTTTATTTGATAAATCTGCACTAGATCTTCAAGTATTCTCCTTTGTACATAATTTCCTTCTTTTATCTTGCTGCTTTATATTATATTTCTATCTATGGTTCTATCTATGGTTATCATCATTCTGATTAGAATGTGTACTGGAGTATTTTTATTTGGATTTCTTTTATCTTGTACTCCTCCGACTCTATAAATCTGGGTACATGAACTCTTCAGCTCTCAGAGCTGCTTAGCAGTGATGTATTTTGACTCTTGCTTCTTTATCAGTGTTGCCTTCCTGGCCCTCTTTGATGCTGATAATTCATATTTTGTTCCTCTTGTATTCATCCCAACATGTCTTGTCAGATGTTCATTTCTTTTGAGCCTTTTTTTCCAACTTTATGGTTCTCTGGAGGTTTTCTGCACCTCATCTTGAAGCTCCTTGATTCTGTCCTTAGCTGTTACTCTGCTATTATGGCCTTCCAGTGAGTTTTTCATTTCACTTACTAAGTTTCTCAGTTCTGTCATTTCTGTTTGTAGTTTCATCATTTCTGCTCACATATCCATGAGTTTTATTGGCAGTCCGTTCCATTGCTTCTTTGAGCTCCTTATACTTCTTTAATAGTTTTTTCTAAATATTTTATCATTACTCATTGAATCTTCAAGACTACCGTCTTCACTTACTTGGCGTGGTGGGATCTGTATTTTCCCCATTGTGATGTGTGCAATTGTAGTAGTTTCTTTTCTAGTGTGTTGTGTGTGTATTTGGGGGATGGCTAGGTGACTCTAATCAGGATGTCTTTGTATGCTCATGGAGAGTTACGGAGAGGTGAAGAAATGAGCAGCCATAGAGCATAGCATAGCTAGTGCCTTACTATTCCCTTTTTTACTTCATGGGCAGGGATAAACCTTACCTGGGGGGAACAAGATGGCATTTATGAGAGTCAAGCTGGATGCTGACACCAGTTGCTGCCACTGGACTCACCTCATTATCCTTGATGGGTGCTGAAAAGGACAAACAGGGTGACTAACACCTTCCTCTTCCTTTTCTACTTTGTAGGAAGGAATAATCTTGACTTGTGGTAGGAGGAGATGGTGATCTTCAGTGTCATACTGGCTCTGGATTCCAGATGCTGCCACTGGGCTCAATCCAGTGTCCTGTAGAGTACCATACCGTCTTGACTATTAGTGCTTTATAGTATAATTTTATGTTACGGTAAAATGTATAATTTGTAATAGAAAAGCCTCACATCTTAATTTTTCATAAATCCCATTTTCAATATTTTTCAAGCTTTTCTAGGTAGTGGTAGAAACAGAAAACTTCCCCAAAAGCTCTTATGAGGCATCAACTTAGGAAAAGTGCCAAACTCTTTATCTGCAGCTAATATGATACTATACTTATAAAACATAAAGGACAATGTGATTAGTAATGGAAATAATAAATCTATACAGAAATGTTGCAGGATACAAATCAACAAACAGAAATCTAAGGCACATTTATATATGTAAAGAATGAAATGGAAGAGATAAATATTTTTTAAAAATCTATTTCTTTCGCAATTGTGCCTCAAAAATCAAGTACCTTGGAATAAGTTTAATAAAAGGGTTGGAAAAATACATATATGGCAAACAAGGGAGAAGAGCTATAGTAAAGCATCTATGGCACTTACCTTTCATGTGACTTGTCTCATTCGATCCCTGGCATCCCATATGATCAAATGAACACACCAGAAATGTTTATTGAGCTCAGAATCAGTAATAAGCCCTGAGCACCACTGGATGTGGGCACCAAACAAACAAAACACAACAGAAATATAAATCACTTCTAAAAGAATAACAAGAAAATGAAATAATATTTTCTGTTCACGGATGAAAATGATTAACAATTTCAAATGACAGTTCTATCCAAAGCACTATGCAGATTTATTACATTATAAAAATACCAATGGCATTGGTAAATACCAATTGCCTTTTATTGTACCACTTATTCACAAATCAGCTCCTTGAGATTTGTAATAAAGTAAGTAAAATATGAGAGTTCAAACTATAAAAAATACCAATGACATTGTGGATGTACACGTTTATCCACTCATCTGTTCTCAGGCACTTGGGGAAATTGGAGATAGAGAGAGAGTATGAGAGTGTAAAAAAAGTGTCTTCCATAGAGGCAGGCTGCAAGGATGGGGGTAGAAGTGAGAGGTAAACTGGGGACATGGTGACAAAAATTGTATGCTGGTGAAGGGATGGCTGTTAGAATGACAGAAACTGAAACTGCACTGATGAAGAATGTTAGAATGATTGAAACTGTACACTGGTGAAGTGATGACTGTTAGTATGATTGAAACTCAATCACGAAAACGTTGTAATTGTGTGTCTCGTGGTGATTCAATGTTTAAAAAAATAAAATGTCAATGACATATTTAAAGACATAGACCTAGTGCTATTGAAATTTACTTACAGAGATTGAATTCCCTTAATAGCTAACATTTGTTATAAAGAGATACTTTGTTTTTTAAAAACCAGTTCACTTGATCACTTGATCACTTGATACCCCATTACTCATTGATTTGCTCTAGCGAGTGCCAGTAATGTTTCCATTCATCCCTGTTGTGTGCTAGCATAGCCCAATGGCATCTGCTTGTTCTAGGAACATAAAGAGACTCACACTGATCATTTAGGGTCTTGAAGAAGTCTGACCATCTCGTAGGTGGGTGTCCACGCGATCTTTTGACGTCCCGTGGAATCCAGTCAGTAATGGCTCTAGTCCAGCGGTTGTCTCTAAATCTCATTACGTGTCCAGCCCATCTGATTTTTGATGCCTTGACAAATGAGACAGTGTCCCTGATTCTTGAGCATTGACGGAGATCCAAACTCCGGATTCTATCTCTCATTTAAACGAATCGTGATACTCCAAGCATAGCTCTTTTGATTCCTCTTTGAGAGACCCAAATAGCATTTTCATCCTGTTTTTGTAGGGCCCAGGTCTCTGAGGCATATGTTAATGCAGGAAGAACAGTGGAATTGAAGAGATGTGCTTGTAGCTGGAGCACCAGTTATCTTGAAACAAAAAAGCAGACATCCTGTACCTATAGGTTACAAAATGCAGGGGCATTTGAAGACACTAGTTTAATTGAATAGGTGTATAGATAACATTTTGATTCAGGTAGGCTAATTATGAGGGAAGCATTCCCTTACATTTTTTGTCTTCCTTGTGTCTGTGTTTGTTTCAAAACCCATGACTCAATGACAGGAAAATAAGAGTGCTTATGCATCTACAACTGTACCTCATTTTATCTCACTAATAAAATTTTTTTAAAAATCCTTTATCCTCTCATACTCTAGGACTTAAAACAAGGTTTGTTGAAATATATTTTAAGCTTTTCTATAGGAAGATCTAAATAATGAATCGTAACTCATCCTCTTATCTTCTAAGATTATGGTATTTTCACAGAATCTTTGACTTTCCTCGACGTGTCCATATTTCACAGGAGACGTTCAATTGTAAACCAGATCAGATAAACAGATAAAACTGGTATGGATGGTATAAACTTCAACAACTGAATCATCCAGAGTTTTTGGAAGCTTGGTTAATATGTTTGTACTTCTGAGACTAGAGATTTTTAAAGGCAAACCATGTGATATCTAAGCTGGAGAAATGTTTGCTTTTATTAATATTGTTAATGTCTGCTACATACCTAGAAAAATTATGCAGATGATTAAAACCTCAAATCTTAGTAATTCACTACATTTTATAAAAGAGAAGACTAGTCACTAAGACAGTCAATAAAACTTACCAAAAGACTGACTTCAGACTCTTTTCTTAACCACTGTGCTGCATCTTTTTTTTCTTTTTGGGTGATACGCGGCGATGTACAGGGGTTACTCCTGGCTCTGCACTCAAGAATTACTCCTGGTGGTGCTCAGGGGACCACAAGGGATGCTAGGAATTGAACCCAGGTTGGCCACGTGCAAGGCAAATGCCCTAGTCACTGTACTATCACTTCAGCCCCGAGTGCTGCATCTTTTTTATATCTTACAGGAGGAAGTTATGGATATTAATTCACAGTAATGTAGGGCAGTGTTCCCTAATAATGTATGGTATAAACTATGGTAAAGTTGTCTGGAGTGGGCTATAAATGACACTCCCTTCTTCCTAAGATGGTTATATGATAGCACTGTAGCACTGTAGCACTGTCCTCCCATTGTTTATCGATTTGCTCAAGGAGTCACCAGTAACCGTCTCCATTGTGAAACTTATTGTTACTGTTTTTTGCATATCGAATGCACCATGGGGAGCTTGCCAGGCTCTGCCGTGTGGGCGGGATACTCTCTGTAGCTTGCTGGGCTCTCTGAGAGGGATGGAGGAATTGAACCCGGGTTGGCTGTATTCAAGGCTCTACCCAAATAATGGCATAAAAACTAATAGGCGCCTATATCTTTAGTCTAAAAGTGGTCTGCAGGTAGGTTACCTATGGCTTCTATGATGACATCATGGCTATCAGAGATATCTGTTCTTCAAAACTTCCAGTTACCAAGAAGGATGGATAGATTGTATCTTATAGTTCAATATGACTGCTGGGACGTTAGACATTATACCTATAAAGGAGACTGCTCAAAAATTCTACCTAATAATTATGTTTATATATCATTAAACATGATCACATCATGTTTTAAAGAAAATAAAATGTAATATTTTATTCCATGTTCCATGGGATACATCTAAATTTCAAAACTCCTTTAGTAAGTGGAAAGAAGAGGATGGATGTGAGGATTGACACACAACACCTTGGTTACATGAAGTGGTAATTCATTCGATATACACTTTTATGTCTTCACAGTGACTACAGATATGTGGCAGCTGCTCTGGCTGTAATGAGAAATGTGACTCAGCAGATCAATGAGCGCAAACGGCGTTTGGAGAATATTGACAAGATTGCTCAGTGGCAAGCCTCTGTCCTAGACTGGGAGGTAGGACTCTTATCGACAAGTGCACTAGGAAGTCTGAATAACATGTAAAGAACATCACAATCTATGTTAAAGACGGATGTAGAAAAGATCAAATTGAAGAGCAGAAAAAAAGGAATTAGATTAAAGCCAGAGCAAAATTCCCAGCTAATGAGAAAATTTAGGTATTTGAGTAGTTTTGAAAAAAGAAAAAATAGAAAAATTAATTTGTCAGTACATAATTAAGAATGAAAAGACTTCTGACTTTTAATGTTGCTAGGAAATAACTTGCTTGACTTAGAGATTTTTCAGAGACTTTTCAAGTGCTGTAATAGTATCACTGATAGGTGAACACTTGGATAAAGACTTATATGGATTTTTCCTTACCAGAAAATGTAATTTTAGGATGGTTCTCTGGTACAGGCCATGCAACATACTCTTTTCCTGATGGTGGGATTTCAATTCCCTGTTATATCTATTAGATCTACTGAAACATACACACTTGAGACCTTGATTATCATCTGCACTCAATGTACAGACAAAATTTTCTTTTGAATATCTTCTGAAAATAATCCTTGAGAACATTCCACTCCATTTGAAAACAGCCGTGACTTTTCTGAACTGAAAAATCCTTCAGTTACTGAAACCACTGAAACCTTCTCTTATTACACGTTTCCTTGCAAAGAATATATATGGCCTAACAAATAAATGGAGATTTGCCTCTGTATCCCTATGTTGAGGCTCTTATTCAACAAAAATAGAACTGTGAATGATAAGATTCTCATGTATCCATGTGGTCAGTGTGATAATTAGTGTTTGTGTCTTGTTCCCACAAAGAACACCACGAATAATGACATCACACATTACTTTTATCCTAAATTGTGAAATAACATAGTCTGCAGCTAACGTAACCAAAGTAGAAGAGGCTGTAGCAGCAAGGAGGTACTATTTTTAAGGCTCAGGTTCATGGTATAGAATAGAGTCAGTTCACTAACCTCCAATGTCATGTTTTGTAATTAAAAGATAGTAAGAACCGATTTAACATTTAAAGCAGGTTATCACACTCCAAAGGGATTATGCTTCAGTTTTACAAACAACTACTTAATTATCTTTTCATTATTCTGCTACTTCTGTTTCTCCTTATAGTATATGGCTATAAAAATCTTTGTTTAGTCTTATTTGTAGGATAAATATGAAGTGTAGAAAACACATGTCATTCTTTCAGATACAGGAAAAGAAATGAGAGGAAACCCTTCTGAATCAGACTGTCATTGTTTTTGAACAAATTGCCTCTAATATTATCATTCATTCTAAGGCATTGACAAGCTGTGACTGATTAGAAGGCCTCTTTTTAACTTTTGGTCATACACCATGCAGTGCCCAGGAATTACACCTGGATCAATACTCAGGGGACCAAATCGGGTGACAGTGATAGAACATGCAAATCAAGCACCTTACCAACTGCACTAGGTCTACAGTTCAGGACGCCTCTTTTATTTACTCCCTGGAGTTCTTTTTAAAAGGAGAATTACAGCAACAACTGCATCCCTATTCCCTGGAAAAGCTTCCCTTTATGAATGCTTTGGAAGACATTTCTATTCTTTATATGTGCTCTGGAACTATAGTATTTATAGCTGAGTATATGGAGAAACAATAACTGTTTGAAATTCTCAAGGTCTATACAAGAATATTCATTAATACTAAATGAATTTTTAAGTTGAATATTATTTAAACTCTCAACATCCCATAAAAAGTTCTGAACCCGGACTGGCTCAGAATTATCAGAATGATTCTCTGACTCCTTAATTAGCATAATTGATTGGTTCTCTAACCCTATGTCAACTTGCACAATCCTGAAACACTACTGATCAACAGGGACTTTTTTTACCTAAGTTAGTAAGAAAAATTACTCCTGTCTCATTTTCAGACTTTGGAATTACTGTTTATCTTAGCTGTTCCAGAAGTGTTGCCTCTAAGGAAATGCTTCAGCAATGCTCAGAATACCCACATTGTGTAAAAAAGAACTAAAAAGTCTGTCGTATTTTCCATAAATGGGATATTAAAGATTTCTAGAACATCAGAATTACCAAAGATCTTAGGATATTCTCTCCAACAACCCTACCATATTTATGTAGGTATGTGTACACACACACACACACAAACATATGCTACCTGACATGACAAACACATATCACATTTACAATAATGATGGAAGATTTACAAAGACTAAGAAATCTCATTCCTGACAAGGACCAAATTGCAATTTAGTAACAATATCATGAAGTAACAAATTTAATCTAATTTCCAGTTTGCATGGGATTAAAGATTACTTGAAAGTCTGTAACAAGGCAGTCTTGGTTCAGTTTGTCTAATAATTAGGAGGCCTTTGGGCTCTGACTAAGTTTCAGGGCAGGCAACAGCTGTTCTCTGATTCTCTTCTACTCATAACAGCTAGAGGGTAAAATTAGGAATAAAGTCATTCTGCCTCTAATCATTGTGAAGAATACCAGTGTGGTAGTCTTTTCACAACTACATAATATAATCTATGCTTTCCTTTGAGATAGCATGGAATGTTTCTACAGTAGGGAGTCCATATCTAAGCAATACAGCAAGGCTTCTTTGTGGGAGGACACAAATACTAGTAACGTTAAAAGTGAGTGCTAAAAGGTCATATTTAGAAAGTATAATCAGCTTCAGTGTTTGCTGGCTCTTGGCATACCTTGCCCAAATTCACTGAATTGTCAATAAAGATGCTTTGCACTGTTTAACCTGTACAAGTAGTTCAACAGGCAAAAATATGTCCTATCAAAATCTTAGGAAATATTTAGATCTTAATATCCTTAAAGAATATTTCAGAAAATGTATGAGGGTTAGTGGATGCAGATACCAGTAAATAAGAGCACCTGGTTAGAGAGCAGGAATACTTCTTTTTGTGTCTGTACTTCTCCATCCCTCTATTTACTCCATGACCTATAATTTAGTCTAGATCTTTAGTCTTTTTCCAGTTACTATTGCTGCCTTTGCCAGCCTATGGGAAATAAATATTTTGACCCTTAACATCAGAAGATCCATTTGATAAGGAGAAAGATAGAACATATAGCTGAGAGCTTCTTTTTTTGAGAACTTCTTTTATTAAATAATTTAATATTTCTTTAAAAACTGCACCCCAAATTTTGAAACTTAAATATATGGTTATCATTTCTTCCTCAGTGTACCCCTCTCCCCACAGTCTAGTTCTGTACTATCCAAAGGCCTCTTCCATTTTACCTTAAGATGACAGAACAGAAAACATTGGAATAAACAAAAAAGACAGAATTATGGAGACAAAACAAGCATCTTTTTAAATGTTAAAGTGGTTTGAATGAAGATTTTGTTAGGATCAATAGATAAAATACCGAGTTGGTTGACTTCATTATTTTCTTGCCATCCCATCAGATTAATCAATATTAGTCTTTTCTATATCAGTCTTTTCCTTAATCTTTTGATTGCAAAACCCCACATCAGAGAACCACCATGAAATTAGAATGGAGTAAAGATAAGAGAGTGGGCGTTTCCTCTTTTATAGGATTTTGGCCCCAGAGAAGAAAGGAGGCAGAACTGAAAAGAAAGTTTTGATTACTTTTCTCTGACTACAATTCATCCACCACCGACTGCTTAATTTATCAAGCAAACATTCCTTAAGCAACTCTTTGTGTCAGATCTCATTTTTAGGCTTGGAAAATACATCAATTAACCATATAAAACTCTGACCCTCATTAAATTTATATTCTTGTAAGAGTTAGAACCAACAAAGTCATGTTAGTGATAGAAGATATCAAGAGAAATTAAGTAGGATACCAAGTTACAGAGTAGTGGGGTGCTTTTTTAGATTTGGTAGTCAGGGAAGATCTCTCTGGTATAACATATGAACAGACTGTAATAAAGTGAAAGACTTAACTTCTTGGGACAGAGCAGTCTGGAAAAAGAGTTGAACAAATATAGTCTCTGAAAGGATCGAGTTATTCTACTCAGTTTTTTTTTCTTTAAAAATTATTTAGGAATCAGGGGTGTGGAGAATAGAACATGAAATAAAGTAATGGGTGAGCAAGCACCAGGGCTTCAAGTGAGTAGTATAGCCAAATATCTAAAACATAGACTCAACAAAATTGAAAACATAAAATGTAAGCTGCAACCACTGAAACTTTGTAATGTGCCTATGAAATTGACAGATGGGAATAGGATCAGTATTGGGGTTGGGAAGAGAATATGGAAACACTGTTGGAGGGAAATTTATACTGGTCATGGGATTGGAGTTGAAATATTATAGCCTAAAACTCAAACATCAAAAACTTTATAAATAATAGTTCTTTAGTTTAAAATATACCATGAAAAGTTGGGCTATATAAAAATATATTTATGGCTGAAACAATAGTACAACATACAGGGTCCTTGCCTTACAAGTGCCTGATCTGGTTTCAATACCCAACATGGTCTCCTGGTTCCCATCAGGAGTGATCCCTTAGTGCAGAACCTGGTGTAATCCCTTCAGCACTTCAGTGTGTGGCCCTGTCACTGTCACTATCCTCCCGTTATTCATCGATTTGCTCAAGCAGGCCCAGTAATGTCTTCATTGTGACAGTTGTTACTGTGTTTGACATATAGAATATGTCATGCGTAGCTTGCCAGGCTTTGCTGTGTGGGCAAGATACTCCTTTAGCTAGCTGGGCTCTCCAAGAGGGGCAGAGGAATCAAACTCGAACTGGCCATGTTGGCTGCATGCAAGGCAAATGCCCTACCCGCTGTGCTATCACTCCAGCCCATGTGTGGCCCTAAAAGCTAAAAAAATATTTAGGCATCCTTGTTTATAATGTTGTTTAAATAGAGTTTCAGGTATACAGTGTTTCGACTCTATTCCCACCAGTGTGTTAGCAACTTTCCACCAATATCCCAAGTCCTCTGCACTGCCTTCTTAATAACCTTATTATTTTGATACAATTATTGTAACCTGGATCATATGTTTACAATATTGTATATATGTGAATTCTATGTGTATAACTACCTCATCTCTACACAACTAAAGTGTCTAAGGGTCCTGATCAATGCTCCTATGTTACCACTTTAGGATTCTTTTCAGTCACCTTGACATTCACTAAGGACTCACCTGCAGTTTTGAACATGGACTTTGGTGTTAGTGTGGCCTAGACTCTGTCATATTGGGCAAAATACTTCTAATTTTACTTATTCTTTGATGGTAATAGCTGTATATTCTTTATTAGGTTGTTGTGAATATTAACATGAATATGTAGCACAGGATAAAAGAGTCTTATATTTTCTGTAGAGCTTTCACTGTGGTGCAGAATTTCCTAAACTTAAGTTATAAACTTACATGACCCTAGAAAGGCTGATACTATTATTATTCTTCATTTTAAAGATGTGGGAATTGAGACATAAATATTTTTAATACTTCATTTGGTTTGGAGATAACTTGGTTGAATTTTATACACTTTATATGCTGTCAAGTTCTTAAAGTAGAAGTAGAGTGCACCTGAGTTGTACAGTGGGTCGGCAAAATATTTCTGATTATTGTTCTTGGTTTATTAATGCCCATTTTAGTATATGGTACTTTTCAAAGTCCTGACCTTTTTCTATGGTATGGGCCTACCTTTACAACTTTATTTCACTTTTTCCATATTCAAAATGATCTGTAGATATTTTATGGCCCACTCTGTGTAGTAGTTCTCAACTTTTCCTCTCTCCAACAGAAAACTTCTGCATAGTCCTCCTTCTTTCAAGTGCTTCCTATCCCAACTCCAGCACTCTGGAGGTTCTGTTCAAACCCCTCAAGTAGATTATTTGCTTTTATCCCCGAATATTACTGACATAGTTTCTAGAGTCACAGTATTTCTGAGCTTGTTTTCTGAAGTACTGTTATTAGAAATCAGTAAGGTCCCCTTTCCTTTCTATCCTTTAGACTTGATAAATGTGATATACTTGAGAAAACCATTTTCAACTATCCCTTTCTTTATCCTACTACCCTAGTAAGGCTGTTTTCCTCTGATTTTTCAGGCTGCAGATATCCCTATCTCTAACTTTGACTCGATGCTCTTGGCATCAAAGTTGAAATATAAGACCTTAAAGATCATTCTCATGCACTTCATTTAAGTGTGGGAAAAACAAATAAAAAGAGGAAAGGGCTAACCATATAGTGGTTTTCTGGCTTAAAGGCAATGTAATTTAGTGTGCAGAATGAGAATACTTAGTTTGGAACCACAGAATTTGACTTGGACATGAGCCTCTAGCTAACTAGATTGCATTTTCTGGCCACTTAACTGACATTCCTATACCTCAGAATATAAAGTGACAGAAAAAATAACTACCTCCAGGGCTAGTATGGGGCTAAGAAGACTCAGAATAAGAGACTGTAGCACCACAGTAAAGTGAGATCATCCTGTGTTTATCACTATTTTTCAGACTTACCTCACTTAATATATTATACTCTAGTTCCACCCAAGTTTCAGTGAACTGCATTGTTTCATCATTCCTTAGGTCTGCTGATCTATAGTATGTATAGTAACTAGATAAGGGAATCTAAGGTATTAAAAGTGAGATAACTTGATAATCCTTGACCCAAGAATATAAGGAGAAGAGAAGTAAAGAATTCACAGAGAAAGTATAAAAAAGTGGAAAAGAAGTAATGGGGGGGGGAGTGGTAAAAGGCTTCAGCTAATATTGAATGTACAGAGTTATATAATTATATATCAAAACTACATAGTAAATAACACTGAAATATATAAAGGTAAAAGGTAAAGGCCCTCCCATTGATTGTCGATTTGCTCGAGCGGGCCCAGTAACGTCTCCATTGGAGACTTTGTTGTTACTGTGTCTGGCATATCGAATACTCTCGGTAGCTTGCCGGGCTCTCCGAGAGGGGCGGAGGAATCGAACTCGGGTCGGCCATGTTGGCCGCTTGTAAGGCGAACGCCCTACCCACTGTGCTATCCACAGCTGTACTATATATGTCACAACAACCAAACTTAGAAATGTGCTTGTCCAGGAGGCAGGCTTTTGGTTAGCAGGGGTAGGTTTGAGTTGGAGGGAATTTGGGGACACTGGTGGACATAAATTGACACTGATGGTGAGACTGCTGCTGGGACACAGTATGCCTAAAACTCAAAATTCACACTCAAAATTCATTTTGTCTTAATAAAAATAAAAGTAAAAAGTAGCATTTTAATTTTCAAAGCAAGTATGTAACAGATGTCTGACCCATATAAGCTTAATAAAAATTAAGTCACATGATTTCTGAGTCACTGTTTTTTGTTTTTATCTTCACATAGGTACTGGAATACATACCCCATGCTTGTGGCTTCAGTGTGGTTTATCTTGTACTTTATGGTTCTGAACACACCTGCTTTTCTAAAAATATGTAAATTACCAAGAACAGAAAATAGGTCTAATTTGGCATCTGACATTGACTTCCACATAACTCTAATCTGGCAAAGTTTTTTATAAAGAAAGGTTCATGAAAAAATTCTCTAACCTGTAATTTGGTGGATCGGGTGGCCTGGTACATTTTTCTGTCTGACTATATGTATCAAGTACTTTCATGTTCTCTGAATACAAGGAAGCATATCACAGTGATATTTATTATTTAAGTAAAATAATCTGCATTACTATAAAATGACTTTAAGATGTTGAATGGATTCTTATTTTCCCCTCTTTTATTACTTTTGTGGGTCCCTCCTCTCCTCTTCCTTGACTATGAAGCAAAAAACATCTACCACCTGCTTAAACTTATTCTTAATGTACAACACTTAAGAAACTAGTTGGGATGAAAGACCAGGGAACAAATATATTTATAAACAAATATAAAGAGAGGAAGTGAAGGTGAGCAGAGAGAAAAGGGGGAATGAACAGGGAAGCCTCATGGCAGTTAGTGCCTCTAGGACTAAAGTGTAATTGGCATAGTAGTACTAAAGCATAGTAGTACAGGAGTGTGAGTCATTCTAATTCCTGGAACCTTTTATAGATCCTTACCTTTATCCATTCTTCCTCACCTACTTTCTGTGTTCTACTTCTACTAGTCTTCGACTAGCTTTAGGTGTCTTCAGGAATTTTACATGGAAAGTCCTCTTTACCTTCCTCTCATTTTTTATCCTTCTCAGGGTGAGGACATCCTAGACAGGAGCTCGGAACTGATCTATACTGGGGAGATGGCCTGGATCTACCAGCCCTATGGCCGCAACCAGCAGCGGGTCTTCTTCCTGTTTGACCACCAGATGGTCCTCTGCAAGAAGGTAACCCCACTCCCTTCTTTTCTGGGGAGTGGGCACCTTGGATGGCATCATTATCTCTATAATGTTCAGCGAAATAGGCAAAGATTATTAGAAAAACTAGATGTTGGCCAAAATTCCACATTAGCGTCCCTATTATGACATGGATATCACAGGCAGTTTTGGCTTAAAGGCAGTGAAACTGAAGTTGGTACATTTTATCTTGTTATCTCTTAACCTTTTACCCTTCTAACTCTCATTCTTTGCTAACTTTCACCCAGAGCTGATAGCTGTTTTCTACTATTAAAAGTATTAAAATATCTATTTTAAAAATATTTATTTCTAGTTTCCAGATGTGCTCTGGGCCTAGGCTCAGGATTCACTCATGGTGGTGCTTGGGGACTGTATGCGATTTTGGGAATTGAACCTGGGTCGGCCACATATAAGGAAAGTGTCCTGCCTGATATGCTGCTGTGCTATTATTCTGGCCCCAAGTATTAAAATATTTCCTTTAAAATTAGTTAACAGGTTCTCATGTTTTCATTCTAATAGCTATGGGAACAAGATCCTTTGTTGTCTAAAAAATAGCAAGGATATAACTACTATTATCCTGATCTTTGTGGTACTGAAAATCTCTCTGTTCCCACATTTACTACATAAGGTAGATAGATTCCCTATAATTCAACTTTTCTTCCTCTATAATACTTTGAAGAAAGATTTAATTCTTTTCATTAACCCCTGAATAACTTAGTGTTGATGTCAGAGTTTTGTTTCTCTTTTCTTTGGCAACTAGAGATCTCAGCATTATTATCTATATATCGGATGATGTTTTCCTCATCTCTTTCCTCTATATATGGAGTTCAAACCACATTTGTGGTTTGAGAATGAGAAGAAATTTTGACCAGTAAAACTAACAAGAAAGGAGAAATCAAATAATGCTTATAGTAATTTTTCAAATTCATCCTCCTATCATGACTCTCTTTCTCCATCTTCCAGTAGCAAATACCCCAGGAGAGTACTTGTGAGTTTTGAAACAATAAGTCAAATACTTTCATCATTCCAATATGCGACATAAATTGAACCCCTTTTTCTCTGTATATGCTGTATCTTGTACTAAATATTTGTTCCTTTGTCTTTAGCAGTGGATTTATGAAATAATTTGAGCTTTCACTGAAAATGCTTTAGTGTTTAGGCATTAGCTTTTAATGCCAGCTCTGAAAGCAGCTACTAGTCAATTAATGAGGATAATGACTACCTTACTTTGGAATTTTAAAAAAATCTATGTCACTTCTTAGCTCCCTCAAATTCCTTCAGAGTCTTCCATAAAACAAGAAGCCAGGATTTTTGAGGAATAATTTAGGCAGTCAAGAAATTTAGACACCAACATATTTAGGTACCAATAGACAAGTGTCCATTCTTCTTACTGAGAGTCCTCTCAGAACAATCGGAAATACAGAGACAAATAAAAGAACGCTATGCAAAACAAAGTTCTGTTAATTTAGATGTCTATTTTCAAAGGTACAAGAAACATTATGTAAAATGTGAAACTTGGCTCTGAAAGTAGTTGCAGTAGAACAAATGGCCAGGAGCCAGGAACAAAATAATAAGACAAATGTGAATAGTAAAAGGAGCTTTAGAGACAAAGGACAGTTGAAATAGATTTAAAATAAATGATGCTGCTGAATGCAATGAGTCAGAAGGAAAGGGACAGATATAGAATGACTGCATTCATTTGTGATATATATATATATATATATATATTAATTAGAAGAAAGAAGAAGAATATCCACAGCTAGGGTAATCAGGGGTTAGAAGTACTGGTTAATGGTTGGAACTAACCTCAAGTGTGTTTGGGGTTGAGGTTAGGTAAGTTAGCGAAGAGACCACTATGATAATAATAGCTGGGAATGATCACGCTGGCCAAGATCTGAAGGTTAAAAGTAGTTAAGGGATATTCTTGATAACCATTTAGCATCAATAGTTCAAACCACAATGTCCAAAAGGAGAGAAAGAGAGCTAGAGATATAGAGAGAAGAAAAGTGCCTGGCAAAGGCAGGGGGTGGGGATGGGAGTTAACGGGAGGGAACCTGGGGATACTAGTGCTGGAAAATGTATACACTTGCAGAGGGATGGGCATTGGAATAATGTATGAATGGATTCCTATCATCTCCCAAAGCCGAATCAAGAAGATCTAGAGTACCTGAATAGACCTCTTAACATAAAGGTAATTGAAATTGTAATCAAAACTCTTCCCAAAAACAAAAGCGCAGGTCCAGATGGATTCACTGGCAAATTTTTCCAAACATTTAAAGAGGACGTATTGCCAATTATTCTCAAGCTTTACCAGGAAATTTAAAAATCAGAAACTCTCCCAAACAGTTTATATGAAGCTCATATCTCTCTAATACCAAAAGGAAACAAAGACACCACAAGAAAAGAAAACTACAGGCAGATATCCCCGATGAATACTGATGCGAAGATTCTAAACAAAATACTAGCAAATAGAATTCAACAACTCATCAAAAATATCATACACCATGACCAAGTGGGATTCATCCCGGGGATGCAAGAATGGTTTAACACTTGAAATCAATCAACATAACCAATCATATCAACAAAGAAAAGATAAAAATCATATGATCATATCAATAGATGCAGAGAAAGCATTTGACAAAATCCCGCACCCGTTTATGATGAAAAACCTCAGCAAAATGGGGAGAGAGGTGACTTTCCTCAATATAGTTAAAGCCATCTAACACAAGACTACAGCAAGCATCATCCTCAGTGGGGAAAAACTGAGATTCTTCTCCCTAAGATCAGGGACGAGACAAGGATTCCCACTCTCTCCACTACTGTTCAATATAGTACTGGAAGTACTTTCAATAGCGATTAGGCAAGAAGAAGTTATTAAGGTCATCCAGGTAGGAAAGGAAGAAATCAAGCTCTCACTATTTACAGATGATATGATACTATAATAAGAGAACCCTAAAACCTTTACCACGAAAATCTTATAAACAATAGACTTGTATAGTAAAGTTACAGGCTATAAAATCAATACCTAAGGTCCATGGCTTTCCTATATGCAAATAGTGAGATAGAAGAAAGTGACATGAAGAAAACAATCCCGTTCACAATTGTGCCCAGAAAATCAAGTACCTAGGAATCAGCTTAACTAAGGAAGTGAAGGACCCATAAAAAGAAAATCACAAAACGCTACTTCAGGAAATAAAAGAGGACACGAGAAAATGGAAAAATATACCCTGCTCATGGATCGGGAGAATTAACATAGTCAAAATGGCAATACTTCCCAAAGCACTGTACAAATACAATGCAGTCCCTATTACGATACCCATGACATTCTTCAAAGAAATGGAGCAAACAGTTCTGAAATTCATGGCCGACCCGAGTTCGATTCCTCCGCCCCTCTCGGAGAGCCAGGCAAGCTACCGAGAGTATCTCGCCCGCAGGGCAGAGCCTGGCAAGCCACCCGTGATGTATTCGATATGCAAAACACAGTAACAACAAAGTCTCCAATGGAGACGTTACTGGGCCCGCTCGAGCAAATTGACGAACAACGGGAGGGCCTCGAGCAAATTTAGGTGATCATTTATACTATTGGTAATGTTATTAAGTGTGTTCTCTATGGCTGAAATAATAGTACAACAGATAGGATGCTTGCCTTGCATGTGGTTGACTTGGGTTTAATCTCTGCCACTACATCTGATTCCCCAAACACCACCTGAAGTAAGCCCTGAACACTGATGGGTGTGGCCCAAAAAACAATTAGTGGCTGTGGTTAGCATCTATTGACCCTGTTGCTATGAAAATTCTTAGACCATCATTATCGGGTAAAATATAGGAATTTTGGTGACCCCCATAACAAATAAATAAATAAAATATGTACTCTAGGGTCTATATTATGGAAGTGAGATAGACAAATTCAGTACAAGCCCTATATCCTTTGTCAGGATATGTAGAGAAAATAATGATGGTCTAAGCTATGGGGAGATAATGAGGGCCACAGATAATGAACTAAAGGCATACCTGATGAATAAGTGAGGCAGCTGTAATAATTATAATCTCTAGATTAACATATAAATCATTTTTTTTGCTTTATGGGTCACACCCAGAGATTTACAGGGGTTACTCCTGGCTCATACACTCAGGGGTGCTCGGGGGATCATATAGGATTCTGGGAATCCAACCCGGGTTGGCTGCATGCAGGGCAAATGCCTTACCTTCTGTGCTATTGCTCCAGTTCCTTATTTTGAATGAATTATCCAAAATTATCTTATTAAACCTAGTGAATGTCTAGTGAGGCTTAATTAAAAAAGCTCCCACCTTTTCAATTAAGTGATAACAGGAATTGTGTAAGCTCCATTTAGAGCTGCGAATAATGCTAGGTCCAAGTTTCTTGTCGCTAAACTTCTAGGGTTCTCCTAGAAAAGTAATACCCTTTGACTAGGATGAGTAGAATAAAAAAGAGGAAGATTGGCATCATACTACATATAGCCCCATTTATATAGGGAAATTCTGAAAACACAAATACCATCTATTGTGGCTGGAGCAACGAGGGCACTTTAGCAAGCATTTGACCTGGGTTCAATCCCTGAATCCACATATGATACCCAAAGCATTGCCAGGGGCAATTCCTGAGCGCAAAGCCAAGAGTAAGTACTGTTGAATGTGGCCAGAAAACAAAACACAAATTACAAATAACATCTGTGGTGTTCATCTATTCAACATTAAAATACTTAGACCATCATTATCAGGTAGCATATAGGAATTATGGTCCCATAAGCAACTAGGTCTATAAGCAACCAGGACTCAGAAGGATTTGTTTAAACTTTAAAATCATTTGAAAAGTGAAGATAAATTTCCTTATTTCTTAAAGAAGTGGATTGTTTGAGAGGTTACGTGCACAAGACCACAGGACTAGTTTTAACTAAGCAATGCAGACTCAGAGACTTAGACTCTACCTCGTGTTATTTTCATTGTTGTATGCTATTTTGTAGCCTTATGTA